ATTAAGTATTCTGTTAGAACTTAATGATTATCCTAATTATATTTTAGATTTTTTATATTTAAAATGAGATGTTTATCCTGTATTTGATTGTGTTTATTTGCAGTTAATTACACGAATTCAGATATGGGATAAAATCAGATAGGGATGAACGGGTTTAAGAGTTTTTAAGAGTTTTAAAAGTTTTTAAGAGTTTTAGTCAAATGCTTTATAATATAGTATAGATAGTATATATATGCTTTTATATTCTATAAACTTACTTTTTATTTCAAAAACGATTTAAGGTGTTGACGATTGATATGACAAAGATGGTACAGGAGGTAGTCCTAATCGAACTAACGATTCAAGATGGCGCTCTTGTCTATTAATTTATAAATACAAATGCAAATGTACCGATTAATGTAAAATCACATGTGAATTTGTAAGTGGTTTGGTCATTTCCTTATTTTCTTATTTAGGTATCATTTTTCGTATGAACCTACCTCTATATAAATAACGAACATTCATGAACGAGAATGTCGTTCTTGTTTCCGTTCATTTAACTTAGGGGGTGTTTGAGATTGCTTATTTGAAGTGCTTATTAACTTATTTCGGTATGGTACCAATAATAAGAAATTTTTAGTGTTTGTATGGAGAAGAAAAAAGAAATGCTTATATCGGTTTGACACCGACAATAAGAAGTTTATAATAAGTTACTTTATTCTAACTTATTAACTTATTCCGGTGTGGTACCGGTAACAAGGAGTTTTCAATATTTGTATGAGAAAAGTAAAAGGAATCTCATATATTTTATCAACTTATCAGGTGTGGTACCGTCATAAGATAATTCAAACACTTTTTATAAAACTCCAGTTTGCCATCATATAAGTTGATAAACATTTTTACAAAAAACACATACATTGTTTTTAAATAAGCAATCCCAAACATCCTTAAACAAACAAAAAAAATGTATTTATGTTTATTCTTTATTAAATAAACAAATATAAACGTATTCAGTATTCTCTGTGATCCGTTTAAAAAATGTTCACCAAATGTTCGGTTCATTAACGACACCAACTTTATGTATCACCATTTTCCGTTATTTAATGTCTAAGGGCAATTATGGAAAGCCAACGGGAATATAGGGACCTTAGAGTAATAAAGTTAAACTTCAGACCCCTTTGCCTTTCAATTCCAAATCCATTTATCTCCGGCGGCCGCATCGGAGAAGAGAAGAAAGGAGAGATGGAGATGGAGGGTGACAGTCTCAGAAACCCTAATGGAGTTCCGAACCAGAAAGGAGAAAGTAGAATTGCGAATTCCAAGCCAAAACTAGTCGTGATAATGGGAGCAACTGGTTCGGGGAAATCTCGTCTCGCCATTGACCTAGCTTCACTATTTCCTATTGAAATCATTAACGCCGATTCCATGCAGGTTTGTACACATACATACAAATACAAACATATATATGTTTGTATCAACTAATTAATTCCTTGTTTCGTGACTTTCTGAATAGGTGTATGAAGGATTAGATGTTCTCACCAACAAAGTTCCACTTCACGATCAGAGAGGTTCAATCGATCTGTTACTTGAAATCAATTTGATGATATTACACCATTGAATGTCTTCTTTGTTTTTGCATTGATGAATCAATTATTCATTTGTGATTCTCTGCCTATGTAGGAGTGCCGCACCATCTCTTGGGTACGATCAGCCCTATGGTCGAGTTCACTGCAAAGGATTTTAGGGATTATGCGATTCCCGTGAGTTCTTTCCCTCTGTATATACACATAAAGCATGTGTTTGTTGATTAAATTTAAACGAGAACTGTCAATTCAGCGGCTTCATTGAGATTTTTATGTTTGTTTTGCTGTTTTGGCTTGAAATTTGTATGCACTTGATTTGAATGACCTAGTCGTTTTCATGTGCAAAGAAGGTACTCATGTTTTAGCCTTAACATCTTTGTGATCATAAGAAAGTACTTTTGGTAATGCATAGTGGTCAACTGGTAGCCAGCCAATTCAGCATTTTGATTGGTTCTTACATTTTGGATGGAAAGAATGTGATTGTTTTTAATGGAATGGTTGAGAACTGCACCCGTTTTCATCACTGAGAGATGATTTAACGCTGTCCAAAATACTTGGTGCGTTTGGTTTGCAGGAATGTTTTTGAGGGATTTGGATTCCTATGAGGGATTTGGATTCCATGGGATTTGGATTGGATTGGATTTGAAATTCATTCGTCTGTTTGGTTTGTAGGATTTGTAGTATTGGGTCTCCTTACTCAAAAGAGCTAGCAACTGTCTATGGTCTGTACAGGATTCCTCAATGAAGCAAATTATTGAGAACTACAGAAATCGAAAAGGGGAAAAGGGATTCACCTGTTGAGTGATGGGAGAAGGCGGTGGGCGACGGAGACGGTGAGCGACGACCACCGACGGAGGCGGCGACGGAGACGAAGGGCGACGGCGACGGAGACGGAGACGAAGGGAGACGAAGGGCGACGGAGACGGTGGGCGACGGAGACGGTGAGCGACGACCACCGACGGAGGCGGCGACGGAGACGAAGGGCGATGGCGACGGAGACGAAGGGAGATGAAGGGCGACGGAGACGGAGACGGAGACGAAGGGAGACGATGTAAGCTGTGGGAGAAGATGGAGACGAGTTAGGGCAAGCATGTATGMTGTGGGAGAAGATGGAGACGATGTAAGGGAATGGATTTCAAATCCCGTGTATTTTCAAAGGATTTCCAAATCCAGCGTTTAAGGGATTTCAAAGGAATCCATGGATTTCAAATCCTCACAATCCAGCAAACCAAACACAGGGTTGGAATGGATTTCAAATCCAAATCCCTCCAAATCCCTCCAATTCCTGCAAACCAAACACGCCCTTAGATTACTGCATGATTGCAGTCCTCATAGCTACAACATTCTTTATTATCTAAAGAGATTCATATATGCTTTTCAGCTTATCAATGATATAACATCCAGGAACCACTTGCCAGTCATTGTTGGAGGCACAAATTATTATATTCAGGTAAATATTATTTATTATATTTGTCACGATAGGTTCTTTAATTTGCAATGCCCCAGCCTTTTTAACCTGGCCATGTGGTCATGTACTTGTTTTTAAGCCTTTTTATAAACTCATAGACAGTGCATGATGTATTGAGGAACTTCTATGTGATTTGATAAAGTTTGTGATAGAGAAATGGACTCAGCTCAAGAGCTCAGTGAGACCTTCACCTCAAATTAGTTGGGGCAAGCTCGTGAGAGATGATAAGAGAAGATGAAAACGAATCTATTCTGCGGTTGCCTTATTACCATGCAACACTGAATACTCATTCCTTTTTATACAAGGTTTGAGGTTCTAAACAGCTCCTGTTTGAGTATGTTGCTTGAAGTCAAATCTAATAATGAGTAAATGTTATTGTTACTATATCTGATTTGAAGTGCATGCCCTGCTTAGGTTATGACATGAATTATCGGTATAGGTCCTATAGGATGTAAGTATAAATTGAGAACTTGGGCCTTGGGGGGATAAAATGGGTAATGACAAAAAAATATTTATAGTAATACAAATTTGTTTGGAGCCTCACTCTGCTGAAATGTGAACCGAGGGAGGAAGAATGATGAAGAAAAGAGCGGAAATGAATGCTTGAACACGACGTGCAGAAGGGAAATAAATCATGGCCTGAAACCAGCTTGGTAATAGGTTAGGCACAGACTAATAAAGAAACAAGCCACATTTCTTTAGTGTTATTCCTCTTCCACTAATTTATTGCTAATAATACTTATTCAAATGAGATGGAGGTAATACAGCCATAAGCATCAAACCATTTATCTTGGAGATGAAGAGATTTTTATGGTTAAGCTAGCTTTTCGAAACTTCATCTTATCTAAAGCTTATAGACTTTCAATCTTTGATATAGTGTAATGTGTAGTTTTGTTCGTTGTTCTTGTTGCTATATTCAGGCACTTGTCAGTCATTTTCTTTTGGATGACTCACTTGAAGATACAGATGAAAGCTGCTTAGGTGAAACTTATGGTAAACAACATTTTTTCTACTTCATATTTTTATGCTCATTTTTTACAGGTAGACATGAAATTGCCGATAAACTCTTTTTTGGTGAACAGGAGATAAACAACAACATATTGCAGTTATGCCAGAGCAAGGAAATTTTAGCTATAGTTATGATAGTCTGAAGGATCTTGATCCAGTTGCAGCAAATAGAATTCATCCAAATGACCATAGAAAGGTAAGTGGGTCCACTACTCCATTAGTCCATTTATTCAAAATTGTTCTTCTATTCATTGAAGAGGGCCTCGGTGTTCTTCTGAATTAAGTTGGGGTTTGGTCATCAAAAGTGTGTTGTGGGTCAACCAGTAAGATGTTGAGGAACTTCTGTGCAACTGTCTACTGTGTGGCTAAGCATCGCATCGGATGCCCATGCATTTGGAGAGACATGGTTGCATTCATCGTTTTGCATTTTCTACGAGTAAGATAGATAACGGGTTAACATTGTTTCATCTAATTCCTATCATGAAATAGAATCAAATACCATGCGAAAACTTTCTTGATTTCAATTTTTTTTAAAGATATTTAATTGTGATTATATTTACATTGCACAAGAGTTAATGTGTGCAATGAGCATTGAAATGTGTTAACATTTGCTAGCATGACCTTATGGTGCCGGTTGCCTTAAACAATGGGTCATAAATCTGTATCTGCCCTTTGAGAAAAAGAAAAAAATCTATATCTGCCCAGTTAGACACATCATCTACTGGGCACCCATAAATGGGTTTGCAGTAGTCGTCAATCTTGAGAGAAGAATTTGTCCAATATTTGTGATTATGTGGTTGGTTGTGATACTTCCTTAGTTTCCTTTCATCTATATATAAACTGAACGTACCCGGTTTATTCCACTCGAAAGTAGGGTCTGGTTAGGGTATGATGTAGGCGTTTCCGCTACCCCAAGGAGTACAGAGGTTGTTTCCGTGCAAACCCTCGGCTTGTGAATCCCTTCCATCTATACGTCTGCTGCAATATTTGTTGTGTACAGTGCAGGATTTTCCAAAGTCTTGCTTACAATCTCTGTAGGAGTGATATTCACTCACAAGTCTTTAATTTTGCAATTCTGGTATACCAATTGTCAATTAACTTCTGCAGATACGTCAATACCTTCGTTTATATGCTTGCTCTGGTGTTCTTCCTAGCAAATATCTTCAGGAGCAGACCATGGAGGTTGGTACTGCTAATTCTTCCAAAAATGCACCATGAATAATCTGAACTTGTTGAGTTCCTTAACTGAACTTGAAAATCCCCAATTTTCCATGTAAAATAGCTTATCTATTTCACTGAGTTATAATCATGCATGTGGCAGAGCAGAACTGGGGCAATGCTGATAGTTTGAGATACAACTGTTGTTTTATATGCGTGGATGCTTCTCTCACTGTTATAGACAAATATGTGGAGCAGAGGGTAGATCAGATGGTCGATTCAGGTTTGCTTCAGGAAGTTTATGATATTTTCAACCCCGATGCGGATTACACTCGAGGTTTACGGCAAGCCATTGGTGTCAGGGAGTTTGAGCATTTCTTAAAAGCTTATCTCTCCGTAGGTCAAAGTGGCACAGAAAATGGTATCATTGACCAAGTGTCAGCAGTTAAATATGTTGAAAAGTTAAAAGAAAACATGAATACAGTTTTGAGTACTGCCGGTGAGGACCCACTGAAACAGCTTCTTCAAGATGCCATTGACAAAGTGAAGTTGAATACCAAAAGACTTGTTCGTCGTCAGGTAAATAATCTTTAAGCTGCTCCGTTTATTAATTATTAGTTGTAGGACTATATATATATATATATATATATATATATAACATATTCAAATTTACATATTTTGTCCTTCCAACTTATAATGATTTGGAATGATTTAGAACTTCTAATTCTTTTGTGCCCAGAAAAGAAGGCTTGTTCGGCTGCAAACATTGTTTGGGTGGAAGATACATTATGTTGATGCAACAAAATGTCTTTCATGTATGTTTCTCAGTCCCATCCCTAAGTTCAATTTGTAGTCTATGGTATCGGTAAATAGTACTGCCTGCATTGCATATGGTTTGTCAAAGTTTTTAAAATACTCTTCAAAATAAACAGAATTAAAGAAATTCTGTGGCCCCAAATCAACACCATCAACTTATTTAAAGAAATTCTGTGGCCCCAAAATGAACACCATCAACTTAATGATGATGATGAACAAATATGCAATTTCTACCTGGAATCTTTCCCAAAAAGGGAAGTGTCTTTTTAAATATATAATATTTATATATGACAAAATCACACACACCCCTTGCCTTTCCTGAGACTTGAACCCTGACCTCCAGCGAGGTTGGGATTTACCATATGTTGCTGGGCCAATGACACTTTGGTAAGAGGGAAGTGTTTCAGTTTCCACGGGACCTAGGAAGTAGCTAGGAGTACCTCTTCATCTCGACCATATTTGGTTTCCCTTATTTTCAGGTTTATCGGAAGAGTCATGGACTGTAAATGTGGTTGAACCTTCAATCCAAATTATCAAATCTTATTTTGATAAGAGCACACATTTGGTGCCTGATTTCGAGGCAAGCAATGATACCAAAGGATCAAAATTGATAGATCGGGATTTGTGGACACAACACATATGCAAGGTCAGTTCTATGATGCCGTGCTTACATGTTTATTGAGCTGTTTATAGTCCTTCCAACCCCCACCTCTTCCTAACGACTTTGACAGTCGAAGAGATGATAGAGGCTATTTTTTAACTATAAATTTGGTAATAGCATCTTTGAACTTGATAAATAATTTGATAACTCTATTCTTTACATGAGTCCAGAGTCTTCAGACAGGTTTGCTGATTTCTTTTGTGTGTTTTGAGCTAGATAAGCTCTCTGCATTTCCTTTGTAACTCTGTTCTAAAACACCCACTTTTTTTTTTGTGCATTTTAGTTATGCTTATTCTTCTTTTTTTGCAAGCGTGGGTCATGTTGGAAACAACCACTCCGTCTCTTGGGACAGAGAGTAAGGTCTGCATACATCTTAACCCCAAGATCCTATCTCCGGGTCCGGGTGGGATATGCCAAGTCTATTTGGTTTTGTTCCTTGGATGATTATATGACTTAAAGGATTTGCTTCAAGTTGAAGTGTGCGTCTTTTGTTTGTTGATCAAGAATAGGTCGTTTACTTGTAGGCATGTGGGAATAAGGTGCTTAGAGGGGCATACGAATGGGAACAACATAAACAAGGCCGGAGTCATCGCAAAAGAGTTTGCCGGCTTAGGAAGTCCGGAGTCTCTGGCTTGGATGACTAACAGGATCAATGGCACACAGGTAATTATTTGAGCCATTAATATGTGATTTAAGGATCGAAATGGTTGAATTTTGTAGTTTATTAGAATTATTATAACATATAAAGTGTCGCAAACGGCTTTTGTTAAAGCTGCATTAGGTTCAGCTCAAATTACATAAATTTAGTTTAAACCCGAAAATATGCAAACACATATTCATGCATAGAATGTTGTAATATGAATCCATGTTACATATTGATGCTGCACAAAAGGGTTGACATCAATGGGGTGTTCACTCATGCTTTAGGCCATACCTCTTCATTTGACTATGCTTTAGGCCTAGGGACGTTCCAGTCTTTTTGGAAGCCGTGTTACACCTAAAGCTTTTGATTACACCGCAAAATGAGATAACAAAGATTCATTACAGAAGCGATGATGAGACGTATGACTTTTGTCTTTTGATAGAACTTAGAGAGGCAAAGAGGAACTGAAGTGGCCTATAGGTTTACGTTCATTAATGAAAGTCTTAAATAATGTAAAGTTGGGCCCTAAAATTTTGGGGTCCTTGTTCAAAATCACACATTTGATATACTAAGGAACGGCTCTGTTTAGGCCATATCTCATTCGCGGGTTATTATCATAAATAAGCACTTGGGGAAAAGTTTTACTTTTTAGCCACCTCCAAATTTTTTCCTTTCACAAAATAGCCAAGAAACTGCAAGTCAATGCCGCAAGGCACTTTTCCTTGCAGTTTCTGACATTTTCTAACGCGTCCAAATGAAAAGCAGTCCACCACAAAAACAGATCGAGACACCACAGCTTGCGGCAAAACGCAAAGACATGCGTCATGCACAAAAAGCAAGTCAAAGTCGCATCTTGTGGCACCAGAAGGACATGCCGTAACTTGCAGCACCGCAAGAAAAAGTGCATTACGGCGTTGACTTGCGGTTTCTTGGTTGTTTTGTGAAAAACAGTAAACCCATATCTCTTTATTTGTGAAATTGATAAAATATCTAGATATTTTGTTGTGTTTAAAAGTTAGAACCTTCACTTGTTAGTTGTTACAACCATTTCGACAACCACTTCTCCTCCAAAACATTAGAACACTTTCTACCACCTCTTTGTTGATATTTTGTACCTTCAAAATACAGTAGGTGTTTTGCTAGGTGTTCTTTGTGTGTGTTTTCCCCCAAGTTTGTTGATTTTCTTTGGATCCAAAGATTTTTGTAACAGGTGTGGTTGTAATCTCCCTCCTTCAGATGGTGATATATCTGATCGCTCCCTCTTTGGATGTACAGTACATTATCATGGAACCATGTTTTTTTTAAGTATATAATATTTATATACGGCAAATATAACAAATTCACACGCCTTTCTCACCTTTGGTAAGGTTTGAACCCCTGACTTCCTAGGAGGCCAAAGACTATGACACCGTTAGGCCAAAGGCCCTTTGGTATCATGGAACCATGTTAAATCATGGTGTTTGTATAGATTTCTTGTGTATGCTTTGATCTTTATCTTCTTGTTATTTACTTTGTGGACTAGTATTATACTTTTTTGGGGAATATAATCACATCCCCATCACCGTCTCTAACGGGGAATCGTGGATTTTTTTTCTCCGATGTGTTAAACACCACAATCGATCCAAATTGGTCCATATTTAAATCTCACATATTTCAATTTCTTTTGCTTTTATAAGGTATTAAATATTCATATTTGAACAAAATCGCATCATACTTAATTGTTTGAGTAAACGATTTCGGTTCTCTTATCTTTTTTATCTAAAAAAGATAAGTTTAGTGGGTTCCCCAAGAAGACGGTTCTAGTTCCCATGCCTATCTACTTTGTTTGGGACCATAGAAACCATATTTGGTGTTCATACTTAAAGATTATACATAATATGTAACGTGATTTTGAATTATGTGAGACTAATCTGTTTTTTTGAGACCCATGATACTGTCTTTTTACACTTGAAACTTGAGTGGTGGACCTAGAAATTTTCTTGAGCGGGTGCATTTTAAGGTGGATCAAATCCCAAAAAAGTCACGGGTTTGATTGGAGGAAAAGTGAACATGGTTTGACCCAAAAGAAAGTTAAATTATGTCAATTTTGGGAATAATTCATTTTTTTAAATTGAATTGATCTTGATCTTTTGAGCAAAACATAAAACTACATCTTATGTGTGATGTGTTTTTTAGCTAAATTCTACCGTTACAAGAAACTTTTTTATTTTTTTGGTTAATTTTTTTTTAAAAAATCCAATTTTTAGTATTCGATATTGACTGGGCTTTACTTTTCAATTTAGAACTTATAATATTAAATATGATGTTTTGCAAATTATAAGTAATTATGCATCTTATTTTGATTCTTTTATGCATCTAGAATTTTGAGTCATAATCATAATTAAAGCAAATTAGAAAATCATTTTAGAGAAAGTTAATGATCAAATATGAAATTAATAGAGTATTCAATGTGTTATTAAATGTTATTTAAGTATAAAATTAGTAGAGTATTTGATATGGTATTAAATGTTAGGGGATGTGTGGCAGTTGCTGAATGATTTAATGCAGAATGGTTAAGAATGTCAGAATGGTTAAGTGCTGAATGAAATAATGTTGTTTGGTAACTGTTCTTTGAATGACAATAAATTACCATTTTAACCCTCTGAATGATTTAGTACTAATGAAATAGAGCTGATTGACAGATATCTGAATAAAACAATTATTTTACAAATATAACTACATATTACCATTTTACCATGTTAGGATGCATCATCATGATTTCATAACCAAGTTATGAACAAGCTTACCATGTTAGGATGTATCATCATGATTTCATAACCAAGTTATGAACAAGCTTACCATGTTAGGATGTATCATCATGATTTCATAACCAAGTTATGAACAAGCTTACCATGTTAGGATGTATCAAAATCATGATGCATATACCCATTTATCAACAAACAGACCTATGCATATATCCATTTAAAACGCATCCTACAAACAACCCTAATTAACGTATGAGCCCTAATTAACAAATAGCCCTAATTAATCTGGTAGAGAGAAGCAGTAGGGGAGGCGATGAAAAACCTGGAAAAGGAAGGTATAGGAAGCAGATGTAGGAAGTAGTAGGGTCGGCGACCGGAGGCGCAACTAGAAGACGGCGAACGGAGGAACAGCTGGAAGACGGCGACAAGAGGAGCAGCTAGAAGACGGCGACTGGAGGAGCAGCTGGAAGACGGCGACCGGAGGAGACGACCGGAAAAGGGACGATAGGGGGGGGGGGAAGACGGTGAACAGAAGAACGAACGATCGTGGGGGATGCGATGTGAAGCGGCTATTGTAGAGGGCAGAGTTGGAAAAAAGAAATCTGAATGGTTTAGTGAAACCCTAGGTACAAAATGGTTAAGAGGTTAATGTAACCATTAAGAGATTTGTTTTTTTTTTGCCAAACAACCTTTACCTCTTACCGATTAAAAGGTTGGCTCTTAATGTCACCATTAAGAGCCAAACGAACAGCCCCTTATATAAAGAGTCGCTAATTAAAAAATTAAATAATGTGCATTAAGTTGGAATCCAACCTAAACCCCCCTTTATAAGGAGTATTAATTCCGCTAAGGCAAGCAACTCCACCAACTTCTTGTTTTTGTTACAAGCTTAGGGAATGTAATAAATACCTCTTAATAGTTCTATTAAAATGTAACACCTGAATCGTTAAGAAGTGAATTTTGTTTGACAAAAAAAAATATGTCTCTTAATAGTTCTAAAATCATCTGAATGATTTTGTATCATGAGTCTCTATTAACCATTCAACGCCCTAATTTCATTGTAAATAATTACCAAACAATTATATTTTATTTTGCACTATATCATGAGAGCCTCTTAATCATTCTGATAACCTAAACATTTTGTACTAAACCATTCAACAACTATCAAACAACCCCTTAGTTTTAAAATATTTAAGAGCACCCTAAAACTCAAGCAGAAGCATCTTCAAGACGTCTACATTTTTTCCCTCTACGGTAATCAAATGAGCGGGTGCACAGAACCCCGCTCGATCCTCAGTAGGTCCGTCCATGTGAAACTTCACAGTAAAACACTGTAAATGTAACATTCACAGTGTTTTTGCTATAAAAGTTCAAATTTTTCTTACATTCACAATGTCTTGCTATAAAGTTTCAAGTTACCTGACGTCACGAGTCTCACGAAAACCGACTGGTTTCACATAAACCCAATCGTATATACTGTATATAAATAATAAAGTGGGCATTTTAAATACTTATTTTCTAATAAAAATACATATTGATTTTTTAATTGTGTGTTTTTTTTACATTGGATTCTTGGTATATAAATGAGTAGAATATAATTTAAAAAAAATATCTTGCAAATAAACAAATAAAATCCCTGACAGAAGATACTCTGCTTTTAGTGGCATGCATAGAATTTGGTGAAATGATGTCATTATTTATATAATTAAATTAATAATTAAATGATATTTAAATGTTCACTTGATAATAATATACGATATTTTCAAAATTAAGGTTGGTATTTATATTTGATTCAGTTAAGTCTGGTATGCCCAAAAACCACTAATCAAAGCGAAAGATAAAAGAATTGACTGTTTGGTAGTTGCTGAATGGTTTAATACAAAATGATTAAGGGGCTATTTACCAAACACTTACCCGATAAGTGCTTACGGGTAAAATTTAACACTAGTATTTACTTATCGGGTAAGATTTTAGTTCATCAAAACGACATTGTATGCAACAATTCACCTGGTAAGCGCTTACTGTGGTAGGAGTCGTTGCCCTCACTTACCGGGTAAGACTCATGGTCCTTGTCTCGCTCTTATCGGGTAAGATTCTTAGTCCTTACCATATTTATCCGGTGAGTTAATGTGACTTGGTAAACGCTTACCCGAGTAAGTGTTTGGTAAACGGCCTCTAAGTGGTTAGAACAATTAAGAGACTCTCATAATATATTACAAAAAAATGAAATATAATTGTTTGGTAATTGTTTTAATAAAATTACGACGCTGAATGGTTAAGGGAGACCCATAATACAAAATTATTTAGAGGGTTTTATAACATTAAAAGACAGATTTTTTTTTGTCAAACAAGATTCACCTCTTAAAGATTCACAGGCTGTCTGTTAATGGAACTATTAATAGGTAAACAAACAACCTTTTATTCAGTAAAACATGTTTATTAATAATTCATTTTAATGACAAAAAAAAAATATTATTGAATAATATAAGTGAGGATGGTGATTTTTGCCGGTAAGTACTTACCTGATAAGCATTTAATAAACTGTCCCATAACAGTTAACCAAAAAAAGAAAGACACGTCTTGTACCTGTATCAATATGGAAAACACATTCCTTCCACATATTCTTTTTGGTAGCCACAGGTGTCTGAGTCGGCTTATCTACATCTCGACTAATCTCATGAGACCCTAAAGTTAACAGTTAAACAATCTTTCAGTGCTCGAAGGAAATTTGAACTGGTGACAGGTAAAATGAATGCCTTGTAACGTGAGACTGATAACCAAATAAAATAGTATTTTACATATCGATACAGAATACTCCATTCGTCCTAAAATAAGTATCCATTTCTTAAAATAAGTGATTGTTTTCGTATTCAACCCTTCAAGAAAAATTAATTACACTTTTTAAAAAAATGTGCATTTTTTAGGGGGGTAAAATTGTCTTTTCATATTTGTAGGTGGGAAACAAGATAATTGAGAATTCAGATATGACCCCATACCAAATTGTTGCACGATTTTGCCCCCATTCGGAACACACGTGCACCCAATAATTCATTTTTTTTTGTAATTATCTTATTTTTTATTATTTATTTTAAAATTCCGAAAAAATTTTATTTGCAAAAAGTGGATATTTATTTGTAGTTTATTTTAGCATTAGAAAAATTCATAATGAAGTCTTAATTGTGGACTAATGAATGTAAAATGACAATAATACCCCTCTTTAGAAAATTCTTTATTATATAAGAGATTCAGCCGTTCAAGTCTGCTTTTGTAATCTTAAAACAGTCGAAAGTACTCGTGAACTTCCTCTCCTTACTAGCCACAACCACCATCACCACCTCCCCTCTGCTCTTCTTTGGTGGAGGGCCCCCCATACAACGATATGTTCAATGAAACACAGTGGCAAACACACCCTTTGTGGGGGCGGGGGCGGAAAAAAACATAAAATTTACCCTCAAGGTTTTTTCCTATTTACCTCATGGGGCCCCATTGGCTCTGTGGCCCTGACTGTTCACATCTCCGAGAGTTTTCGATAATCAGCGTGTTATTCGGTTGATCGAGATAGTAAAAAAAAAATAACAAAAAACACGAACCGTGTCGCCTACACACCAAATAACTCAAAATCGTTTGATTTTGGTGGATTACTCAACTTTGGAACTCTTACACCTTTAGGTGTGCCCAAAATAACCAAAATTTCTGGACCCGCTATTGAAATAACGTGAGAATGAAGATTGGAGCGGTTGTTGGTGAGCAGCGATTGTCAATTTCAACCTATGTACTTGGAGCTTCTTTATCATAGGTTAATAGCTACAAACCCCTCACCATTAGACAAGTGTACCACCATCACTGGTTCTATTGTAGTTGCTAACAAGTGGCAACAACATCACCATAAGGTCATTGGCTCATTGGCTCAACGGTATGTAGTACCGGTGTAGCCAGCCACTCAGAAGGTCAAGAGTTTAAACGACACCAAATATAAGTAGTGTTGCGTGAATATTTGTTCTATATAAATATTATATACTTAAAAAAAAAAAGTAGCAACACCACCACAGGTTCCATTGGCGAGAACGGTGGGTTGTGGATTAACCGACTTAAATACAAATCAAATTCACAACAATATCCGTTAGTTGACTTAAATACCCGGTATCCAAAAAAACCCAATCCACATTACTGACTAAATAACCACAGTAACGGTAAAATTATCAATAAATTCAAATTAAAATCTTAATTTTTTTTATATAAAATAATGTTTTTTTTCAATGAGCAATTATTTTCTTTTTTGGTGTAAAGTTGCAATAATGCTGCATTATGGGACCATCCCACACCGAAATAAAAGGATGAAAAGAACCCCTTCCATGTTACCTGCCTCCAAGTGATATTGATGATACCAAAACTTGCTTTCGACCCGGTACAACGAGAGCGATAGATGTGAATCGGGGTAGCAGTTATGTCGGAAGACATGATATAAAAAAATGTACCTTTCGAATAAGCCTGTGAACGGACTTCGAGAACAGCTCTGATGATAAAGCTAGTTGTGTATTCTTTAAGATGGAGTAATGAATGAAACTGGACGACGTAAATGTAAAGTATGAACAGAACAGTAAACGTTATCTCTTATAATTACAGTATAATGATAATAAATGTGATAAGACAAAATCTGAGGAAAATGTAGGGGTATTGTTAGGCAGATAGGTATGGGTATGATAACAACTTGCGTCATGTGTTGATTGTGTTGTCGTAGGGGATTGATCTCGTCTGATCCATTTGGACTACCTTTCGAGAGCAGTTGGGGTGCCACATAAGGGTCCTATCTGATCCATGCCGGTTTATAAACATGTCAGTATGCATGCCTATCACTGGACCACTGTACGTTACACCGTTACTTGTTTTAGTTGCAAAGTGGTCCATCGATTTTATGTTTTTGGTGTTGTCTTATCACGATAACAATGCCTCTATCCAATGAGATTTATTGGATTCGTTTGATTTTTTGTTGCTTCATTTAGTTTGATTATCAGTTGTACGTGTTTTAACATACCTTGCAACCTCAGTATATTTTAACCCTTGTAGCCTCAACATATCACATCATTTTTGTTCGTTTTTAATTTAACTTGCGCAACGTAAATCAGTTGATATTAAATATTTCCTATGTTAAATTATTCTACTTACTTTTTGTACTAGTTATCTTGGTTAAATTATATAAGGATAAATTGCATGAAAAGTAACGTACTTTAACTTGATTCCTATTTTGAATAACGTACTTTCAAAACTTTTATTTTGGTACCTAAGACGTAAAATTTTAAACATTTAAGTACCCCCGGGTAATAGGTTGAAGCATTAACCGGTTACCATGCTGATGTCGCCAATGATGTGGTATCCAACTCAGTACTAAGATATCTATGCTGATATCACTCGCCACATCGGCATGATAATCTGTTAATGCTTCAACCAGTTACCCGGGTACTTAAATATTTAAAATTTTACATCTTAGGTATCAAAAATGAAAATTTTGAAAATATGTTACCCAAAATAGAAATCAAGTTAAAGTACGTTATTTTTTCATGCAATTTACCCTTTATATAAAAACTATGTAGTCATGAAGCTAAGAGGGATAATCCTTTAGTTTATTTATAAAAATATATCAAAACCCTCATTTGTCTTTATTAAACCATTTCGAACAAATTAATAATATAAATGTCTCTTAATAATCCAACGCTCTTTCTTAGTTGCTTAATGAACTTAACATGATTCCCTACTTATTCTGTTATCTATACATGACTGTTTGGTAGTAAATTACTGATATAGAAAATGTCTTATTCAGTAAGCTTTAGGAAATTTTTTAAACATATTACCAATTTTTTTCTAAACCTATCATTCCCAATTAAAACACACACTACTTTTTATCTATAAAAGACCCACCCAATAAAAACGACATTGATTTACACAGTAAAGTTTATCCATATTCAGTAAGCTTTTAGTGCGTTTTTTTTATTAACCTGGATATCCAACCCGTTACGCGAACCGACTAATACCAAGATAATCACATGCTTTGTAGATAGTCCAGAGTCATCGTATTTGAACCTACGATGACCAGAAGAGAAAAACCCCACCAAACAACCGATTAATTTAACCGTGTAAAAATGGGATTGACCAAGTCAAAATAGTACAAGTAATAAAGCGCAAAGTACAAGAAAAAACAAAGAGATATCCACGACTCCGACAATGGTGTCGGTGGGGGTTTGACCGTAGGGACGCAGCGACGGAACTGCTGACCCTTCAAATTGCTTTTCGTGCATAATAATAATAATAATAATAATAATCATAATAATAATAATAATAATAATAATAATTCCACTTAAAAAAATGTGTGTGTTTTTAGGTGTGTCAGTGTGTGTATCACATGTTATATGTATAGGAGCTTCAGTCTCTCTATCTATATATCTATCTCTGTGTGTGTGTGTATATATACAGCCATACAGAGAGCTTGGTGGTGGTGGTGGTGGAGGATTACGGTGGCAGATGGCGGAGTTCACACATTTGGTGGTGGTGAAGTTCAAGGACGAAGTGGTGGTGGAGGAGATCATCAAAGGGTTGGAGAAGCTTGCTTCCGAAATTGATAATGTCAAATCCTTTGCTTGGTAAGTTTAAAACGTACGATTGTTATTGATTCTTAATGTACAAGTTTTTTTGAAATATATAATATATAGGGTTCAAACGAAAACACCTTCATTTTACGAGGACGTGAGAACATTCTTTTATTATATACAATCACATGTGATACTATTATTCATCACATATGATACACATGTGATACTAAATCAGAGATGCGGATGATTTTCGATGCCTTACACCACTAAGCCCTTTCACATGAATTATCACATGTGATAAGGGTGGTGTTGATATGATAATATAATCCATCACGACCATCATATGTGATGCTAAATCATAGACATAGACAACCTTTGGTGCGGCCTAATTAAGTCATGAAACACGTCGTCCGCACATCACAAGGTTTCTTTACGCGTATTATCACATGTGATAAGGGTGTTCTCACGTTCTCGTAAAATGGAGGTGTTCTCGTTTGAACCTCCACCTCTATATAGAACGGTTCCGTTTACAAACTGATCAACTATCAGTGCATTACATCATATAAACCAATTAATTGAGATATTTTTTATAACGAGTGTTCATTTATTATAATTTGAGCATTTATAAAAGAATAAAAGAGTTTATTTATTATGATCAACTTTTATGTAATGAACCAATTGAGATATTCATTTAATTGGGTATTCTGTATTAAATAGACGGTTAAGATTAGTTTACAAAATTTATATTAATATGACAGTTTGTAAGAATCCGTCAAATATATATATATATATACACACACACACACACACACACACTTGGGATCATGTGAGACAAGACTATTTTCGTGAAACATGTGAGACAACTTTTTACACTTGAAACTTTATAGAAAAAAAGGGTGAAAATAATCTTCAAAGTGTCATTGCTACGAAAGTTCAGCTTCTTTTTACCTTCACAACATTTGCTGTGAGTTTCAAGTGTAAAAAAGTTGTCTCACGTGTTTCACGAAAACAATCTTGTCTCACGTGAACTCGAATCCTGTATATAATATTTAGTCTATTAATTCTCAATTAACACCATTTCTTGCACTTAATAAATAGTAAAATATTAAATTTGAATTTCTTTTGTTAGCCGTGAATATGACAAAAAAAAAAACATATCAACTTTGATGTAACACTATTTAAGTCATTTTTGTTTACAAATTTGGTGTAAACTGTGTTTTTAAGTATATAATATTTAGAGTAAATTACGTTTGGTCTCTGTGGTTTGTTGAAAATTGCTATTTTTATCTCTGTACTTTTGAAATTACGATTTTTAACCTTATGGTTTATAATTTATTGTTATTTTCATCCTTGTAATTTATAATTTATCGTTGTTTTCATCCTTAAAAGGTAGACATTAGTCTCAAAGAAGAAAATAACAATGAATTGCAAACGAAAGGACCAAAAATCACAATTTTAAAACCACAAAAATTGCAATTTTTAACAAACAATAGGAACAAAAACGTTACCAAAATCACATTACCTTACCAGATGAATATGACAATTTGGCAAGGACTTCGAATCTTATTCGATAAGAGCGAGACAAGAACCAATAGTCTTACCCGGTAAGTGAAGGCGACGGCTCTTACCATGATAAGTGCTTACCGGGTAAATTGTTGTATACGATGCCGTTTTGGTGGACTAAAATCTTATCCTGTAAGTAAATGATAGTTTTAAATTTTACCAGTAAGCGTTTACCGGGTAAGTGTTTGATAAACGTCCCATAATATTTATACACAACTAATGGACTTGAACACCATCTTTTTGATTAAGTTTGAACCCCTGACCTTTTAAATGGGTGAAGCTTTACTGATAATTCGGATACTGCTTTGTAACAGGGGAAAGGATATTGAAAGTATGGAAATGCTAAGGCAAGGGTTCACCCATGCTTTCATGATAACCTTTGGGTCCAAAGATGATTTCACTGCTTTCCAAACCCACCCAAACCATATCGAATTCTCGGCTACGTTCTCGGCTGCCATCGACAAGATCGTGCTTCTTGATTTCCCGGTTGTCGCTGTCAAGCCCCCGACTGCTTGACGATTGAAAACGAGTTTTAAAAAATCTCAAGAAATTAAGGAAATGTTTTCTAGTTTGATGTGTGTTTTTGTGAGATCTGATTGATTGTATGACGTACTCAGTCTGGATTTTTGAATAAACCAAGTTGAAACTGGTTCGAAATAATGTACAGTTTTCAATGCATGAGATACAAGTCATTAAAGCATTTGTGTCGTAAGGGAACTTAAATATTTTGAGAACCCATGAACCATCGGTTTTGTGTAATATTCATAATGAATAACGTGATAAATATTAATGAAGAATGCCGTGACGTATATTCATGAATATTTATTATTATTCATCATGGATACTAAATTGCATGAAAAAGTAATCTATTTTAACTTGATTCCTATTTCGGGTAACGTACTTTCAAAACTTTTATTTTGGTACCTAAGAAGTAAAATTTTAAACATTTAAGTACTCGGGCAACCGGTCACCATGCAGATGTAGCGAGTGATGTGATATCCAACTCAGTATTATTTGCTATTTGACCCAATTTCATCCCATTACTCGCACCACATAAAATGGTAACCCAGTTAATGTTTCAACATTATCCGGGTACTTAAACGTTTAAAATTTTACATCTTAGGTACCAAAATAAAAGTTTTAAAAGTACGTTACCCAAAATAAGAATCAGGTTAAAGTACGATACTTATTCATGAAATTTGTCCTACTACATAAAATAGATGGTTTTTGAAAGTGACGAAGCCAATATTTTTGCCGAGTAGATCAACCCAAAGTTACCAAAAATATAAATATATAAAAGATGTATATTTCTGTTTCTTGTTCCATGTGGGATCCCAACATTACCGTGCTGGATTTTCGATCATTCTCGAGACGAATAAGCGGTTATAATCCGAAAATGCATGACCACGAGCTCGGGAAGTCGGGGTTTAGAATTCTTCATCGCCTTGTGTTGCTTTAGTAATGGGGATCAACCACCTTCCGAGATGTGCAGTGTAGTTTATGCAACGAACAACGCCTCTTCCAGAAGGGCCATCGGGGAAATCGATGACGCTAATGCTACCAGCATCGACATGAAACGATCCCATCCAATCCTTTGTTAGGTTTAAGCAATGGCCTAATAGACCGACGGTAACGATGGGATGACCAACAGCTACAACAACGTTATCTGGTTCAGATTCGTTAGATAACTCGTTCAATAGTGATTTCCAGGCCGTCCCTGACCGGTCCCATAGTTCTGTTAACAATCCATCTTCGAACTCATTTATCCAGCCAGATTGTAGACTCGACGCATTAACCGAATCCTGTTTAAGAGACAGAAGGAATAACATAAACTTGTAACTAAGGAATCGTACGGTGTTCAGATTCTGATCAATAATCACAAAATATGAGAATCGTATCAATATCCCCTGTTTTTGGGGCGGGAAATACCGAGTTTGTTTGATCGGTTTGTTTTTTTAATATGAACTCGATCAATATCATATCATCAAACTTTTGAAACTTATGCAATGAAAGTTTAGATAACAAAGTTGCTAGAAAAAGAAATTGTACAAAAGTTTGAAATTATGGAATGAACAAGTAAATTTAAGGAGCCGTTTACCAAACGCTTACTCGGGTAAGCGCTTACCAAGTCAAATTAACTCATCGGATGATATGGTAAGGACCAAGAATCTTACCCGGTAAGAGCAAGACAAGGACTAAAAATCTTACCCGGTAAGTGAGGGCGACGACTCTTACCACGGTAAACGCTTACCGGGTAAATTGTTACATGCAATGTCGTTTTATTGGACTAAAATCTTATATGGTGAGTAAATAATAGTATTAAATTTTATTGATAAGCACTTACCAGGTAAGACTTGGTAAACGGCCCCTAAGCTTCTTATTTTGGCTCGTGGGTCTCACTTTTTTTTTGAAAAAAAAGACTAACGAAATAGTCCACCATTGTAAATGGTTTAAGATATTCTCTTCACAAAATAAATGTCCATAATGAAAGACAGAGTTGTTTTATAAATGTATAATTATTATATCTTTTAATCAACTAAATGACAATTTTACCTTTACTAATTGAGGGAATAATAAATTTTTCCATCTGATTATCAAGGGTAGAATCGGAATTTAGCCACTTGCTTTTGAAAATAGACATTTATTTTGATATAAATTAAAATAAAACCGTGGATACTTATCTTGAGACTAAGGGAGTAACAAAGTTACCATAAAAGGAAAATTTTCAATTTTGACGTGTTGATCATACTATTTCACTTAGTAGCATGATGGTATGCACATAAAACAAACCTAGTATATTCCACGTGGAGGTAGGGTCTAAGGGGTAAGATGTATGTAAACTTTACCTTTATACCAATAGACAGATAGCAAGTTTCCGATAAGACTCCCAACTTGCACATAGTGACACTTAAAATTGAACTCAATACATTAAAATGTGTGTTACTTGCCTTCTTTGAACGATTAAGAATGTCGTGAATGTCGAGGTCTTTCATCTGCTTTGTTTCCACATATCGCGGTAGACAATCAGCACCAAGACATTCGGCAGCTTCTTGAACCTATAATTGTGTGAAATTGGTTATTTAGATTGACATAGAAGACAAATGCGATAATCCAACCATGACGGCCAGTTCAACTGACAAATAAATACTAGGCCTTGGGATTCCTCCCATTAAGTCACCAGTTCGAGTCTTCTCAGGGCCACAGTGGGGATTTTCCTGGTTGATATCTTTAGGGCTCCATGGGATTAGTCAAGGTGCGCAGAAGCTGGCCCGGACACCCACAGTTTCCAATAAAAATGAAACGATCCTATCTAACAGATGATTTGATGAACACGACAAGAAACTTGGAAACGTGACTTACACGAGCAATTGCATTAGCAGTTTCAGTTGGTGTTACTCTAGGGCTGCTAACTATTGATTTCACCTTCAAATCTAGAAGCAGTTCGGCTGTTTTTTGCGACTGCCATTTATAAAAAAGAAATAGTTAAGACTATACCCGCTTGCAAATCGTTGACATACATATCAAGAAACCGATACCTGTATAATTCCAAGCATGTCCATAGATGTGTCACCAGCATCAAAATTGCTAGCCTGTTGACGAGAAGCTTCACAATGAGAAAACTAAGGGGCTGTTTATCTTCTGCTGACCGTTGCTGACTCGGTCAGCATCAGCATGTTTACCTAGAAACTGATCTGATTGAAGGCGTTGACCGAGCACCTACCCGGCTAATAATATTGTTTGACCTGCCGGTCAGTTTACTTGGTTTCCAGGCCTACCCATTTTTGTTGCTGGTTATATTTCATTTAACATTTACTTATAAAGTGGGTTATAAGAATAACTTTTTTCGGTAAGCACTTATTACAAAACAATTGGTGAACAACAATTTTCGGTAACACTTACCCGACCGAACCTCTTACCCAAGCGACATTCTTGTCTCTTGCCCGATTGGCGCTCACCCATTTTGTGTTGGTAAAAGAAATGAGCAAAGAAAACCAAGGAACTTTACTACCTCGGGATTTCCCTGGGATCCATGACAGACAAGTATGATCCGGTTACCGGCTTTCCTGCCTGCAGAGCTTCCAGCAGCAATAGGTGAGCCTGGAGTCTGTGCATAATAATTAATAAACTCTTTTTTACATAACAACACCATACCAATGGCTGAAAAATGCACAATGATGCCAGAATGAGTGATTAACAATGGAGAGTGCCGTGAAACAAAGTTTTTTTTCTTCTCAAATTAGCCATTCTATTGCAACTACACATACTGTCATGTATCAGTGTTGGAGTTCCACATTAGTTAGACTTGGACCATTTATCCTCAATATATGTTGAAACCTCTTTTCTCACGTCAATGGCTCTTTTGAAGAATAATCTAATGGAGTTCCATATATTCTCGCAATCAAAATATAGCAAAGCATAGAATTTGGTTCAAATTGTGTTTGGGTACATAACTCATTCCAGTCAGTTCATACAAGTTCAAGGAGTCGTTGAAACTATATAAGCTAGCTTGTTTTTCAAGCTTATTGAAAATACCTCGTTTGGTAATTCCATAACCTAGCTTTTTGAAAAGTTATGTCAAGTAGCATTTTCATAAGCACCAGGAGGTTTTTCCACTTTTGTCCAATTATGCCTCTTATATTTTTCTAATTAATTTTTCAAAATTTATTTTTAGGTCATTTTACATGACTAGTTTATCAACTAACTTATTAGCTAACAGCTAGCTTATAGGCAACAACTAGTTTTTCAGCTAGCTAATCAGACAACAACCAACCTATAAGCTAGTTTGCCAAATATAGCCTAGATATACAAAGTATTATATGAGAACTATCTGTTAACCAGATTCGACCAATACTTAAACAAGCAAATCTTGTCATCCTAATAAAAGAAACTAGAGAAACACAACTACACGAATGTTTCGCGTGTTAAACCATGAACATTTTCAATTATTACTTATAAGCCACAAGGTTGTCCCAATATTTTTAGATGCCCTGTTACACCCATACTAAAAGTTTATATCGTCTGAAACGAGTAATAAACAAACTAGAATATAAAATTTCATGTAGCATTAAAAAGATCTTACAAATTAAAACAACAAAAATGTTTAAAATGACAAAGTGAGAAGAATATCAAAGARTCGTTTTTGTTTTTGATCGGCAAATTCTAACATTAAAAAGCCACTTTTGATTTTGAAAGAAATTATATAGGTTTTCATGGAGGTGGGCTCATAGGTTGAGCTATATAAATCTGGGCCTCAAGCGCAAGTAAAATTGGACCCCAAAATTTGGGGGGCCTTGTTCAAAGACTAAGATTTAACATGCTAATAAAAGGCCGTGATAAGCCAACTTCTTGCAAATCATTTACCAAGGACTAAGCTGTCTCCTTTAGATAGACTAGAAAACAGCCAATCACAATTGCAAATAAGCTAGCATACCTGATTTAATCGGTTAAGACATATATATGGAGATCCACCCTCAGGCCGTGGGACAAAATCTAACACGCTTACACCACAGTTACTTTGAAGTAAAATCCGGAAGTACTCAGTTCCTAGGCCTGAAGATGAGATGAAAAGGTTCAAAAATAAAACAAACTTCAGATCAAATATGAAGTAATGATATACACACGAAAAGGAAAGAAAATGTACCCATTGCTGTAGCAACAAGAGCCTGATTAACGGCATTATGAGCAACCACGAGAACCGACCTACTATCATGAACCAAGATTTTGTTCCAGCAGCTTGTAGCACGTGTCCACAATTCCCTCACCGGATAATGACCATCTATATTAAAATTCGGAGCATCTTTTTGCCACTGACCAAAAGCCGCACCGAATTTTGCTATACCTTCATGCTTTAGGAGACCCTAAAGTACAGAAAAGAGTTCTATGATAATTTTGACAGATATTGCATCTTCAAAGAAAAATGCTCATGAGAACTCGAACTAACTTGAAACGAGTATAGATCAATCTCCCTCAAGTCGGAATCAGTAAGGATCTCCTCTTTCCGAGAACCCCATATAACTTCAGCGGTTCTTTTTGATCTTTTCAAGGGACTGCAAGTATGAAATATTCATTTCATAAATCTGCATCGACTGTTATGCTTTAGAATTATAATGTGATCACTTGAAAGCTCGCATAGTAACCTTCATAGGGTTTCTAATAACTACTGTAATAGACTAATAACCGGAATGTGATTCTAATTTTATAACGAAACGGGTATTAGTATTGCTCACAATTCCAAGCCCTAATATCATTAAGCTATCGTTTTCTAATCAGAACTGTGAAACCAGAAAAATCAAAGAACAAAAACCTGGAGAAGCATATATCAAATGAATCATCGATGAGCATTTGGCGGGAAGTCTCAGCTTGAGCCTCCCCTTTCTGAGTAAGAATCGAGAAATCGGAGCTCCCTTGGATCCTACCTTCTGCATTCCACGTGCTCTGTCCGTGCCTCACCAGAACCACTCGCTTTGCAACCTTAACCGGAGGGAAGGACACCGAACCGCTAAGCGTCGAACTTAATTGCCGATCATCGTCGCCCTCCGATGATGATGATGATGAAATGTCGAGTTCTTTAAGGCTTGAAGAAGATGATCTCACTATGAAGGAACTGAATGCGATTGGTTTGAAAGCGTGGAGCAGTAGGCTGGGGTTCCTACGGTGGAGGAGGAGTTGGTCGCCGCCGACGAGAGGAACTCCGGCGGAAAGCATTTTTTTGGCGGTTAAAAAAACAGTAATAAGAATCGTATGGTTACCGTTGGTTCTATGGATACAACTATACAAGATGACAGGGTACCTATCAACTTATTTTCACTGGACCACTAGATTTCTCCGCCCGTCCGTTTTCAATCATCTAATGAAATTTTGGGTCCAAATTTACATGTGTTTAGGATTTTTTTTTTATCGATTTATGTAAAATTATAGCCGAAATTATTTAGGTTCAAACGATTAATTGTTTGGTTTTAAATTAATGATTTAGGTTTAGTTTCAGATTGTTAATCATTTAGGTTTAACTCGTTTTTGTTCTTAACATATATTCTATGTTATCTCATTTATACAATGTAATAAAAAAATTTGGATGTAACAGAGCCTCCAAAAAAATTGGAACGTCCATGTTTATCCTTACCCGTTAATTCAAAGTTTCACTGAAACAAATTCAACCATTCTATCCAGGGCGGATCCAGCCCTTACGAACCAGAACCCGAACATCAAAAACGTTTACCGACTAGCTTTTTTTTTCCACTCTCGTTTTACATGGTTTCCCCTCAGTCTCATATAGTCATATGTTTCCCTCTCCAAGTCCCATCCAACGTGCCCTACTCCATTAATTTCCTGGATCCGCCACTGATTCTATCGGTTATAATCATTCCTTCTAAAAGGCTCGTCACAAGATCCTATGCATGGCTACACATTATATGGCATACCATAGCTCCATGTACGGTTTTTATAAGACGATATTTGAATTTTCTTACTTTTAACCACAAGGGTAGTGTCTGATTGGTTTGAACTTGGCTCCAAATGTCAAAAGTACCAGAAGGTCTCAGGTTTAAATCCAAGAAGGAATAAAAATCCCCTTGTGGTCACAGAGGTTCAAATGCGGTGTCTCCGGGCTATTTGCAAAGCAGGTGGTCGCTCTGGAATAAGTCGGCTCGCATAACGGGTTGGATATCCAGGTTAATAAAAAAAATCTTACCTTTTTAATTTCTTATTTGTTAGATTTTAATACATAACTTAATTAAAATTGTTTATTATTATTGACTCATTGAATAATAGTAAAAAACATATGTTTATATATAATATTGTATATGATATAAAGATTTGTCGTTAGAAGACCAAAGAATCAATAAAATGATGAAAATGTTCTTTGTTTAACAGAACTTTTTGAACACCGTTAAAAAAAGATATCAAGTATGAACGTTTTTGTAAACCACGATAGTCATCTTATAATTTTAAAATTACAGAAGTAAAAGTGTTAGTGACAAACCACAAAGACCAAATGTGTAGTTTACTCTAAGATGAATTATAAATTATAAGTTTTTTTAATTTTATATTATTAAAAAATATTTTCGATATTTAATTGGTAACTAAAAAATAAAATAAAATCTTATGCTCTTGTCATAATGGATATAAAATATTATTTCTCATCTTTCAAAAAAACAATACTAACCATATCAAGACGAAAATATGTATTAATTAGCAAGTAAGTAAAAATATTTATTGAATTATTGATTTAATTGTTAGACGAAAGATCATGTGAGAATAAGAGTTAAAGTGAGAAGTATAAAAAAAGATCTAGATCATAGATCACTTTTAATCTTATCCCCACCTTATGAATTGCGTTTATCACAGGAATATGATCAGGTGTATCTCAGTGCACCGCGTTAGTGTTGATCTTCAATTATGATTGATTTTAGGTGGAAATGATACCAATCTCACTATAATTTTCATTCTCACTGGAACCAACTCTTGATGTTATATGAGTGATATGGGTGTGATAATCATGTGATATCACTTAGAAAATCGACTACCGATTTGGTGTGATATGGATGTGATAATCATGTGATATCACTATCATAACAGCGCACTCGATTTGATCATGGTTTCGATCGGTAAGGGTTAGACAATCACACATCTATCACAACGATTACTCATGGTTTCGATAGATTAAGATTAGACAATCACACATTTATCACAACGATTACGGGCGAAATCCACTAAACGATTTGGTGTGATATGGGTGTGATAATCATGTGATATCACTATTATAACATCACTTGCGCACTCAATTTGATCATGGTTTCGATCGGTTAGGGTTAGATAATCACACATTTATCACAACGATTACTCATG